GTCTCACCTCCCTCTGTAACGTATGATCGAATAACAACTCCAGATTTTATCTGTAAGGGGGACACAGCTAGACCCCCTGCCCCCAGTTTACACTGCTGTTTTAGACAGCAGTATTGATCTAAATAGCAGGGTGCCTTCTTTGTTCTGTACAAAATACAATATCAACCTCTGTGATATAGTGTACAGCCACACTAGAACCTGTCTGGAATCATACAGGGAAAAAAATTCAATTCTGACATCATATACAGTCTTTATAACATTTACTTTGTCATGTTCTTACATGAAAAATATCGTAATATTAGCTGAATCATGACATTAAATGCTGATAGATCAACAAGTCCTACTGAGTTAACATTTTTATCCAAAATAAGCCCATGTACGATAATTAATATGCCCATTAATACCTACTGCTCCTTATTAGAATTACGACTAAATGTATTTCATTGTTCTGTAATAAGCCACCTTTTGACTAGATTTTAATGAGTGGTAATGCGTTGTCACCCTCATGGGCTTATTGTAGATTAACAATACCAAGTACTGCCACATGGCCCATTGCTCTGCAAAGCTACATTTCTCAAAGACAGGGAAAGCTTTAGAGTGAGTGATGTAAACCTCACGATCTCTTGTGCACGTATGTACAAATATGTCGCTTTACTTTTCAAAAACTACTGCATACAGCAATTCAACTTCAAAATTCCTAAATGATCCGTATTTCAAATAATGATTCATTCTCCTACATGAATTCTCTTAACATGTTCAACCAACCACAATTTAGCCTAAATTGGCCCATTATTTTACTGACCCAAATCAATCCCAGCAGGCAATTGCAATGAAATTGCCATTACATTGATAACATGGTGGATAGAATACATAGATCTACCCAAACCAGAATGAAATATTGGCAGTGTGTACATGAGAACTGCCACAGTAGCTACCAGGAATAAGCGAACATCTGTCATTCTGCAGTAGAAATACTAGCAACTGAAGGGCTCACTAATCTACAGCAAGATCAATAATTCAACAACTCTCAATGAACACAAAGAATCCTGTTTTTTTTCCTGGGTGGTACATCTATTTTCCATGTGAAAAGTGAGCAGGAGGATTCGATCTCAACGTTTGTTACTGACTAGAGATTAGATCACTTTTGAAGACATTAATGTGATTTTAACATGAATGAAACTTTGTTTGAATAAATTTTGAATATCAACATCTCTACTACAGGAAAGCATTGATTCTCTTTAACCAGTTACTATATAATGTAGTCACAATACAATAACAACAAGGATGGTAAGATTGATGATCTTACATTGTAACTCACATACATGTATGGTACTGCTGAGCATCTGTCTCATTTGACCTTGCACAAGATTTTAATCTATGTATCAATCAAGATTTAATGTGACTACAAGCAATCAATATACCGAATACTATTTAATTGGGGAATGACTCAGAACACTGTCCTTGCACGGCATGAGGAAGAGATAACTGAGGAAAATCCTATCTTTCAAAAATGTAAAAAGATATTACCGCAAGGTGAATGTATTCCTCATTTCATAAGCAGATTAAATGGGACCAGAAAGTGAAGTACTGATCACAGGATTATGATTAATATACACTTGTGGTGTTATGGGATAGATATAGAACACAAGTAATAATTCGTTCAATGCCCTGAAAAATTTAACTTGTTTTAAAATACTTCCTCTGTTTCCCAGCTAAATTCCACCACAGTATAAATATCTGGCAATAGGCCCATCAGTCCAGGCCTGGTAATAACCTATCCATTGTTAGTGCAATGTTGAATAAAACCATGAGTAACCCTACATTCCTGGGTTTTTCCTGACCCTCAAAAATCTTCATTTTGATTCCTTAAATTAACAATGAACCCCGTAAAAATTAATAAAGTACATATTGTGAGAACATAGACACCCTTGAGAGTAAACCCTGCATTCAATCATAAAATTTGAAGTTTCCTGATCCAAAATTTACTGAATTTCAGAGATATCACCACCAAAGTAAAAAGAACATGATAATATATTACACAGTTCTTGTCAAATGACATTACAAGTAGGGCTGATAATAAAAATATGTGTTTCTACCAACTCAATACCAGGAAAAAATGGGGTACATCACCGTAGAAATCTCAAAGAGCTTCACTAATCAAGGAAATAGTCCTTATAGTCCTTCATTGACAATAAAAAATATTGAGTGGGATGGTATGGTTTACCGAAACACAGGTATTTTTAGGCCTTAGAATGTTGTCTGATGTGCCATCAAATACAGAATTCAGATCAAAGGAGCTGTTGAACTAACAAAGCCACATGTAAATCCATATAAATATCTATTATTGGATACCAAAGGTAGGCTATAATCCTGGATGTGTGAAGCCATTTCCCACCTTACTCTACCTCTTGATATACCAGAGTACCATAATAAGCTAATTATACTCAAATGTACCTAAGCTTCCGCCACATTTAATCAGAGCAGAACCAATACCTGCCAAACGTAACAAAGACAGAACTCAATTGAGAAGCCACTCTCCTCACCGCGACCACTACCTACATAGAGCTAATATAAAACAGGTGTCTACAGCCAAGAAACAACATCCACCCAAGTTCCCACCTTGTTTGTACAATAAATAGTTTAAATTTACAAGACTTAATTGAGGCCACATCAATGATGCTTCTCTCCTAATGACTCTTTGATGGAACACACAGGTAAACTGAAAATGCTTCTGTATCACCTGTCCATCCAACCTACCCTCAAACTAACAAGACTGAGTTTTAAGTCAACATTCTAGCTCTCACTCCAATTCGATAAGACCTCACCTTTTTGACAGTCAACCATTGTACATCATGTGATAAAGCATGTAAATAACTTGGCACAACAACAAACAGGTATGTCTTACCTGTGACATTGTGCCTAAAATAGCCATAGGATACTTCCTAAATAACATTACCTGACCAGATACACAACGACTTATAAGGATACTCCCACTCATGTCAGAAATAATTAATTGAGGTATGCATAATTTCTGCAATCAACACAGGACACCTTGAGAAAGGTTGTGTAGTATAATGTAATTTAAAGAGTTGTAGAATATAAAACAAATCTAGCTCTACAAAGAGCAAGATCAAGAGCTCAATTACTTTCAGGAATAAGAGGAGTGTGATCCTGTATAAAGTTTAACAATAAAAAGAAATTGCAACGGAAAATTTCAAATTCACAAAGCTCCACAACTTTATTCTCAACCAGGATTACTCTAGAGAAAATGATATTACGTACAGTAATATGTGGATTTGTTCAATTCAAAAAGTTTGGCTTTGAACTTATTGGTGAATTAACAGCTTGATGAATTGAATGTTGTAATGATTAAAAAAAGCAAACAAAAAAACAAAACAAAACAAAAATAATAGCAAATGACAATGTTGATTCCGTTACAATAATTCACCATGTCATATATTTTCCAAGTCTTGATGATATGAACAATAATGGTTGAAAAATCTAATTTATAATAATAGTAAGTAATTATACCCACTGACACTTTCATTGTGCTATCTAAAATGAGACCTATTTTTAATTGTCACTTATTCATTAATAAAAATTATGATTTTGTTAAACTCTTCATTTAAAGTCAAATGATATAATCACAAGAGGAGATTAGAATAAGAAAGGGGATACAAGTTTTTTACTTTAAAGACTGTCCAGGTTTTTGGTCTGACATGAAGGCCTGGCCAAAGTTAATGTTTCATGTAGGCCTGGCCAATTATTACTGCTAACATGCCAGGAAATACTAGTGCGAGGACATGGATTTTTTCATTTTTCAAATAGCTTTCAATAAAGATTTATACAGGAATATTATATTTCCTTCAGAATAGGCATGTGAAAACAACAAAAATAGCCTCAAAGTAGGCTGGATATATGTTCTAAATGTACGAAAATTGTGCTTATTTATTCAAGTGTTTAACATGTTATTCAGTTGAGCAAATCTTCTGTAGCAGACATTGTATGTTTTGGATTAAAATGATACAACAATATGTATAATTGTCATGTCTTTTTAAACCATTTTTTTGGAAAATGGCTACACGGTCCACAGAAGGGATACCAAACACCTTATTTGTTTTGCTTTTTGTCGGTTTTATAATGTATTTTACAAGCTAACATTGTTTGTGGTTTAGTATTTAGAACATCACATTCGAAATTTCCATATGATCTTTAACAAAGTAGCATAACTTGTCATGTGTTCTCAATTTGTTACCTTCTTAAATTACTATCATGAAACTGATATATGTCACTTCTGTTAGATAGCACATAAATTAAAATTTGTTTCTTATCTTTAATCATATGATCACTTTTTATGTATCAAAAATAGATTTCGGATCAAAATCATATTATCTAACATTGATAATGGAGTATATGATAAATAGTACATATATAGATATTCAAGCTTATGATACTTTAATTTCTGAAGTGTCTATACAAATTATACTATATGATCCACGACAAAAAAGGACATATAAAATGGTCCTATATGAATCATCCCTACACGCTCACAAATCATCGTGTTCTCGTTGACCCCATCACATGTGTATATTTCAATATTATTGAGGCACGTTCGCCATTACAAAACTCTCAAAATTTATTCTTCAATGATAATGTAAATAAAGTGTTCTGAAAGAGAGCCATTAAACGGGGTGTCTGCTTCACCTGGGTGTATAAATAGGGCCATAGGCCTATTCTTATACCCACAGGGCAAGGGGAATACACAAATCTGTTTACATCGAGCTGATCTGGACATCTTCGTAAACAAACAAAAATCCATGTGTATTCAGAACAGGTATCGGGGTCGATTAATCATTTCACATATCTGGGACTTTTTGTTCTTGTGGTAAACATTAGATTAGAAGCGACCATTCATAGGTACTACGGAACAACGTGTTGGTGTATTCACATTCCCCCGAACAAGTATCACTGTAGGCCCTTGTATCTGTGTGTGCACTTACCTTGAAATTGGCGGTGCAGCTGCCCAACAAGAGCACTGCTACCGTCAGAAAGAGTAACTTCCAATTCATCACACCCCTGTACGCGCTCTGTCTGATTACAATACTCCAAACCAAACGAAATAAGATAAAATTAAGGGTCCAAACGAACTAGTAAACGATAACAGCACCACTAAATCCCACACTTCTATCTTTCCTGGCTTCCGGAACTACATTACTTCCATCACGAAAATATTAATCCGCCTTTGTAAGTAACCTGTTCATTTCATTTAGAACTGGTACAGGATTGATGGACTACCAGTCTCTCATTTGATATGGCATGTCTACCTCGTTCTTTTATCCCCTTTCTTGTAACGTAAAAATCTGGAAGTTAGTGAATAAATAATGATGGACTATTTTCATGCGTATTGTTTATTTTTGCAATTTTTACGTCACTTCCGTATCGGATACCCGAAGAATGCCATTCGTTAAAAGGCCCCTGAAGGTCTTGTCAATGTTCTTAATATCAAATTGATATTAAAAAATAATAAAGCATTTTTAACAACACAATCTTGCCATATAATTGATTTTTCTGACAAACTTCGCAAGAATTGACAATAAATCACGAAATCAATTAGTTTGTCGAACTGGAGCAGGTGACCGCCCCTGCAAACGCCTCTTGTGTACCCGTTATGCCCACATGGGTTTTTGACACCATAACGAAACAACAACAATATTGACCTATATGACGCTATTAGATTTCCTTTCTCGATGGCCAATTAGAAATAAGTACGTTTTAAACGATTCTTGGAAGTTAAAATAAAATCCCCAAAAATTACAATAGTCTATAAATGAATATATTTACTTTAACGAAAATATGTGTTCTTTCAGTTTCATTTTTCGATATTAAAATCACTATTTTGATACATAATGACGCTTGTATATACCATTGGTTATCAGTACTGAAATTTACGGTGTTATTATAGAAACTTACACGCATATTTGATTATGAAACGTGTATGGTAGTGCGTACACGTTTTACTGATACTTTGATATTTAGTTTCAGGAAATTTTAACTTGATATTGTCGAGATTTTTTCCCTATGTTTTTATATTATCGTATGATATGTGATGATAATTTGAATCTATATCTTTCCAGTGCACGTGTATTACACATTTAAACTAATTTGTACAACATAATACTTACCTTTAATCACTCTCATTGTGAGGTAATGGTACTGGTCATTACTCAGTTATAAATATTTTTTTGCAATGAAATATAATGGTTATGTACCTGATGTTTTTTGTCGGACGATGCAGCACATGAAAACGCACGTACTTTTCAGTTCGACCTTGGTTCGATTTCCCGATCGAACGTGAAAAGATAACTTGCCCGACCACGTAGGTTTTCCTATGATACTCCCACGGTAAAACCCAAAGCGCTAACATGAGTGATGATGATAAGCTATATATAATCTTGTTTTGCAATTTCTGTAAAATCAATAAAATTTTACATTCACATATAGAAAATTTCTCGAGTTACTTAAAGCCTAAAATACACACTGAACACAAAACACATACTCCCACATCCTTATTTCTATGACGTTTGGAAAGTTGATTAATATGGATGGTATTATTCCCCTTTTGTGAAACTTCATTTTCGCTGACTAAAACCAAGTCGAAACTTTTGACGCGATCAGAATGAAAAAAAAATGGTATACATTGTAGGTATTTGTACAGAGGGACCATAAAACGTGTTACAGTCTTGATGACTGGACTTATCTTGGTCTGTTTCACAGGGACCTGAAAATTGGTGGTTTTGGCGAGTTATATTAAAATTTATTAAAAATGACCACCTTATTCACTTAGAGTGTAACAAATTCCCAGATTCCCAAGGCGAAATATAGGTATGGATATCTAGCACTTTAACTGGCTGTGGATAGATCACTCGTGCACGGACTGTTCTTCCTGGTAAAGCTCTACTGATCAAATAGCTGATTTCAGCGCTTATTTCAATGTGCAAACGACGTTTTTATTACCCTAAATCATCTTAAATAGCTAATACATATGCTTATCAATATTACCAGAAAAATATAGAAATCGTCGTCTAACTAGATAAAAATGGGAATTTATTAATTCTTTTTCAGATGAAACGAAAATTTGTAAACGGCATTAATAAATGGTTAAGACGGGTGAAAATTCCACATTTTCTGTAATTTGAAACAACATTTCCGGGTGGATTTCATCTTCAGGTCTGATGTAATACTTGGAATTCAGCGTCCATATATCGTACATATGTATATGATATTTTATTCATTTCACAACAATTGCGAAATAAGTTACGCGCGAGGGTTTTCCTCGGGGAAGAAAGAAGGGTTTCCAGCGGAAACCAATATCGTCGATCGGGTGACCTCATATCTTTTCCACGTCCGCACGAGATATCTAAGTGCTTAACCATTGCAACACTCAGTCACTACGTTATTAGTAGAAACGACACCAACGTCGTCATATTTTAAAACTTTATTTTTTATCCATTGTTATATGTGAAATATGTTTTAAAATAAATTCATGTCTGTGTGCTCAGAGTTGACAGTAGAGAGAGAGAGAGAGAGAGAGGGGGGGGGGGAGTTTGTATCTAAAAGAGGTCAGAATATTTTTATTGAGTTTTCAACACACCAGACAGCGTTTGAAGAAATAACGAGTATTAGAGGCCGATTTTTCCTTAACAAAACACAAATTAGACGAAAAACTCGAAGTGACATCTCACGGATCCTATTCTTTTTACTTCGTCTGTTTTGTGATCCAATTCAAAATGGAATGAAACTAAGTTTATATCTACATCACGCATTGTATTACAAGCTTATTAGTGACATCATTCTCGATTTACATGTAAAAACAACCAGCTATGTTTCGAACATGTGACTGACCTGATACCACGGGCGTTTGTAAGGTGTTCAAGCTTGTCAAAAGGCGCGAAACACAACGATGACATGAGACTTATGATTTTGCAAAAGACACACAAGTGAATAGCACATTTTGATACAAAATAAAAGTTAGATACAGTAGAAAAAAATGGAAGTCAAGGAGGTGACTGTGGAAAAATAAAACTGATTTCTGAGATGGGGAGATGCACTAGCCCCCAAAATTAATTAATATTTAATTTTCATATATGTGATAATTTAAGAATAACGTCTAGGTACAAGTGTATATTCCGAACAGTGACACTATTCGAATGAATTGAAAAGTGGCACACAGGTTACGGCAAACGAAGTCTCTGAAAATCACGAAAACTAACTGTGTCTTCCAAAGAAAGATAACTCGGAATTTATAACAAGCCGCGCAATGATTTCATTCATCTTCAAGCTGTATAGCATCATAGGATAAAACCCGTTGTAAAAATTATGGAGTAGAAATTGGAGAAAACTACTCACGGCTTTTAACTTTTATTTTAAAAAAGGAATAGAAAATGAGAACAGCTATGACCGAGAGATTAATTAAGTGTTTTTGAGTACCTTACCTCTATATGTATGCACACGATACAATGGGAGACAAATATTATTTAATCCTGAAACAGCTGAAATGTGCGAACAGCGTGAAGTATTCACTCTTATACTGTTTGATATCGTAGGAGCCGACTAATGCGAGTATCTCATGCAAAATCTTGTGTTTCCCGGCTGAGGTTACTAGTACGCAGGAATGTCACGAGGAACCTGAGTAATTTTTCCACCGAGTTTTGTTACCGTGAGGAGACATTGAAGAAAGCAAAACAAAATGCTACTTTCCTTAAGGCTTAGCCATATTTCGACATTGTGAGGACGTAAATCATCGCCAAAATTATATTTAAAAAAACCGGGAAAACGTTATTTTGATTGCAGTAGTTACATTATAGAGATACTCGTATTTGCATTTCCTTTCTACTTCAACCATGAACAGTAAGACAATCCCACCCAACCTCTGAGGAATCACGCAACACTTTCAATGTCAAATGAATGTAAAGCGAGCGAGGACTTTGTTCGGGAACTCTTCAGAGTGATCGTCAAATTGCAGTGAAACCGGATGTGAGTACGTATATATTATAACAATAGTTCAAGTACCACTTATATAGACTAACCACAAACTTAAATAGCTATACAGATGTCGTGACTATCACGAGGCGTACTGCTTCAAGTGGTACAATGGCGAGGAAACGATCAAACCAACGAAACAAAACTTGAACAGACAAAGATGAGAAATGAAAAGAAGGCTGATGCAAAATATACAATTATGAAATATACTATCAACGGTGTAGATAACTGAGGGATATAATATCCACGGTGTAGATAGCTGAGGGATATATTATCCACGGTGTAGATAGCTGAGGGATATAATATCCACGGTGTAGATAGCTGAGGGATATAATATCCACGGTGTAGATAGCTGAGGGATATAATATCCACGGTGAAGATAGCTGAGGGATATAATATCCACGGTGTAGATAGCTGAGAAATATAATATCCACGGTGTAGATAGCTGAGGGATATAATATCCACGGTGTAGATAGCTGAGGGATATAATATCCACGGTGTAGATATCTGAGGGATATAATATCCACAGTGTAGATAGCTGAGGGATATAATATCCACGATGTAGATAGCTGAGAGATATAATATCCACGGTGTAGATAGCTGAGGGATATAATATCCACGGTGTAGATAACTGAGGGATATAATATCCACGGTGTAGATAGCTGAGGGATATAATATCCACGGTGTAGATAGCTGAGGGATATAATATCCACGGTGTAGATAACTGAGGGATATAATATCCACGGTGTAGATAGCTGAGGGATATAATATCCACGGTGTAGATATCTGAGGGATATAATATCCACAGTGTAGATAGCTGAGGGATATAATATCCACGGTGTAGATAGCTGAGGGATATAATATCCACGGTGTAGATAGCTGATTGATATAATATCCACGGTGTAGATAGCTGAGGGATATAATATCCACGGTGTAGATAGCTGATTGATATAATATCCACGGTGTAGATAGCTGAGGGATATAATATCCACGGTGTAGATAGCTGGGGGATATAATATCCACGGTGTAGATAGCTGAGGGATATAATATCCACGGTGTAGATAGCTGAGGGATATAATATGCACGGTGTAGATAGCTAAGGCATATAATATCCACGGTGTAGATATCTGAGGGATATAATATCCACGGT